ATTTAGAGGACTGTAGGTGACATGAAAATTAATTTCTGGTCACATATTCAAACTGTTGTATTACTCAAGATTTTATAAACAGGTTAAAAATATTCACCACTGCCAGAATGTTACCCATAAAAAAGAATCTTTTTAAAAGAGGATTTTAAAACATACATTTCAGAAGTTTATGTGACAGAGAAGGGTCCCATTTCCAGCAGTAACTGATAGTAAGAGGACTTTTTAAATGTTTTGAATATATCTTTCCAGACATTTTTATATGTGTATGAGCATATTATACATGTGTCCATTGTTTCTCAACTGACCAGACCCAAACACCCCTTTTATAAGAACTATTTTCAATACATCTTTGTTGTCATGAGGTGAAATTAACAAATAATGATCTTAGTCCAAATTCCCTAGAAAACAGAACCTGAGACAATGATTATGTGCTAATGCTTTATCTGGGAGGTCCAATTCCAGGCAACAAGTATGATGAAAAAAGAGGAAAAGGGCAGGAAAGTAAGGCAAGGAGATACATTAAAGCTCCATAAGGGTGAAAGAAACACAGCCAGTCACTCAGCAGGTATCTTCAAAGTCACATGGGATGTCTCTCAAGATAGATGATGAATGGAGAAACCATGCCTCAGTCAGGTACACAGGAAGGAGGAAGAAGGGGATTATTTATCAGCTTGGCTCCTGCCTTTTATTAACTCTTATTTGGCTCCCCAAAGATTTAAATCCCAACAGTTCTGCATTGATCAGGTTATTTAGCAGCTGCTCAGGAAGCCAGTTGGTTCTTTAAAGATGAAAATGAAGAATTTTAAATGTCCTATTTAAAGCTATTCCAGAGTGACAGAAGAAGCATCTGCTCTACAATAATATTGGGGGACCTGAACACACCTCTTAGCATTGGACAGATCATCTAGGCAAGAAATCAACAGAGTAACCATTACTCTTTCAGGAGAGAAGAAATCTAGGATAATTAGAGGAGAGGTGGGGGAGGGGAGATAGGGAGAGATTAGACAAAGGGCATAAAGAATAAGTATGATTTGTAACAATATATATGCTAGTAATATTGATTTGACCAACATACGTCAACATTGAACCCCCAAAATATGGATAATCAATTATTATTAAATAAAAATTTAAAAAAATTTTAAAAAGCCATTTTCAGATCATTTTACATTACTTAGTAGCTCATAGACTATAGCAGTGCGCCACCGGGCCGGCCCTTCATCCAAGTTTGGAATTGATAGAACCCCCAAATTTAAGTGTGCATCTCCTTAACCTGGCTGCCTGGCAACCACCGAGGGGAGAGGGGAGGGGAGGAAGCAGCATTTCCAGGCAAGCAATTGGTTGGTTCTAAGTGACAGAAACATTAGGTTGAGCAGAGCCAGCTGTGATGGTACCTAAGGTTGAGCAAGCAGCTGAGAGTTTAGGAGATGAGATGATGGTGTTGTAGGAATCTCAGGATATACATAAGATGTGTCCAATATAGTAATATAACCTGCATATACTCAGGACTTTTTAAAATTGATATCTCCTAATATAAGGTAAAGAAGTTTTAGAAAAGGGGATTTAAAATAATATGTATTTCAATATGGAGATGCTGGGGTACCACTAAATTAGAAGACAATTAAGTAGTCAAATGTTTGACTTTTACCGAGATTCAGCATGAATAAAGTGGCTATAAGTCAGGTGTTTTGTATTGGTAACTCAAGTACCACATACAGACTTGCTACTAATAACTGGTTTTCTGGTTTTTATAAAATGTTAACTTTTGGTAATGCCCTGGGCAAAACAAAAACACAATCTTTCTTCCATATACATGGTAGTTGCATATCTAGAAAATCCAGAATATATTGAATCAAAGTGTTTTCATATATGAAATGTACTTAAGATCTAGACTCAAATAATTATAAACAGATTTTTCAGCTATATCAATAACTCAGAGGACACACAAAACTTGTGTGGGAAATGGTTCCATTTGATGTAGGGCTGTCATCAGCAGAGTATCTACCAACTCTGGCTTTTGTTCATTATATACCAATTGAGTGCCTCCTCCTCCTGATCACTGTGACAACCAAACAGCACTACCACAGATTTCCAAAATGCCCCCAGTGGGGTCCAGGGAGAGAGCACCCTTCTTGACTCTTGTCTTGTGTGTGACTCTTCTTGAGTACCACTAAAAAAACAAAACTGTAAACAAAAACAAATGGAAGACACACATTTTGCAGAGCTTGCACTTAGAGATTTTGTCCATATTAGCATTTACAGACAGACAGTTCTTTGCAGCAGTTACAGAATATTCAAATATATCTGTGTGCCAGGATTTATATAGCTATTGATGGTCTTATTGACTTCAGCTTGTTACGAACAATGCTGCAAAGATGACCCATACACATTAGCCTTTGTGCACTCACGCAATTATATCTCTAGAATAAATCCCCACAAGTCAAGAGGTACATATATTTTTAAATTTTTATGGATATTGCCAAATTGCCCCCCAAATTATTGCCAAATATATAATATACTGATGGCTGTACAGATGCCTGTTTTCCCATTATCTCCCACCACTAGATATTATAGAGGGTTTTAATCTTGGTCAACTGGTTCTTTAAAGATGAAAATGAAGAATTTTAAATGTCCTATTTAAAGCTATTCCAGAGTGACAGAAGAAGCATCTGCTCTACAATAATATTGGGGGACCTGAACACACCTCTTAGCATTGGACAGATCATCTAGGCAAGAAATCAACAGAGTAACCATTACTCTTTCAGGAGAGAAGAAATCTAGGATAATTAGAGGAGAGGTGGGGGAGGGGAGATAGGGAGAGATTAGACAAAGGGCATAAAGAATAAGTATGATTTGTAACAATATATATGCTAGTAATATTGATTTGACCAACATACGTCAACATTGAACCCCCAAAATATGGATAATCAATTATTATTAAATAAAAATTTAAAAAAATTTTAAAAAGCCATTTTCAGATCATTTTACATTACTTAGTAGCTCATAGCCTTGACTTGTCTTTTTATATGGGACATTCATGTGAAAGAGAAATTGGACTTTTAGTGTTTTCTAGGTAGAATCAGGTTCATGACTGAAAGTTTGGCAGGTAGAAGTTTCGGCTGTATGAATGTGAGAACTTTCAAGCTGTAGCCATCCAGCAATGGAACAGCCTGCCTGGAGAGATAAGGAGCTCCTTTCCCATAGCTGGAAATTTTCAATTTCAGGCTGGATGAGCAACTTCAAGAGATGTTTAGGAAGAAGATTCCTGAGTTTAGTGGAATATTATACAAGGTTGATGTTCTAAAGTGTAGTACCTAGACCATGGTGTATGTGTGGGATGACTTCTAAAACTTTTAAGACATTTTAGTTGGTGTATATTCATTTTTTTTTTCTTTTGTCTTTTTTTTGTGACCGGTAAGGGGATTGCAACCCTTGGCGTGGTGTCGCCCGCAGCACACTCAGCCAGTGAGCGCACTGGCCATCCCTATATAGGATCCGAACCCGTGGTGGGAGCGCCACTGCGCTCCCAGCGCCTCACTCTCCCGAGTGAGCCACGGGGCTGGCCCGGTGTATATTCATTTTTATATGCATATACTATGTTGCTATGTTACTAGCAAATCATATACCTTAATATACTAAGGTAGTCAACTTTGGGCAAAAGTTTGCTTGATGACCTCTAAGGTCTCTTCAAAACTGAGATTCTGTAGTTCTAAATCTAATTTCAGTACAGCTAAACTTTCAACTAGTAAAAAGACTTCTAAACCCCAGCCTGTTACATTTATTACAAGCAATTTAAACACAAACCAAATTCTAGTACAACAGAGAATTCTAGTATTTGGAGCTTGTGTGTGCATGTCAAATCCCATAAAAACGTAATAAAAAATGACAGCCCTAAGCCCTAGGTGGAGACCCATCCTGAAACTATATTCAACTTAATTTGATGACAATACTAATACTTTAGGGAGTCTGCAAAATTTGCTGCAATAGGATCAGACCTATATATTTTAAGTGAATTCAGAAAAAAAAAATCCATGCACATGCACAAAAATTGCTAGTGGCATCCCCTTTACCCATTAGCACTTCAAAGTCCAATCCTGGTGGAAGAGAATAGCAGGATTTGTCTTCACACTTCCATGGTCCTCTGTGGCTATCATGAAACCACCGTCTAGTCAACCATATTATATATTTAGAATATAATATAAACTCGGCACTGGTTATTAGAGGTGAATATTTATTTAATTCATATATAAATTTTACATGATATTCATTGTGCTATAAACATAGGCACATTTTTTAAAAACTCCAGATGCATCCAAAAATTATCCCCTAGCCTACTCCAATCCCCTCAAGGTGGAATATCTATTTGTAAAATAAAGGCCAGAAAGGCTCTGCCTGTTAACTTTAGGAGAATCCTTCTGACCATTAAGACCTTTCTTTCTGACTTCAACCAAGCAGGGTCAACCAGCTTTTGGGCAAAGGACATACGTTTTCAGGATTTTAATTCCATCAATTGATAGAATTAATTAAATGCCTCCACCTGGGTACTTTGCATAGGCTTATGGTTTTGTTTCCCCTACTTTGTTCAAGTCAGGAAAAAAAAAAAAATGATATCTATATCCTTATTGGCCTTCTTTAAATCCCCGTGAAATGGTATAGAGATGTCACCACACCAAAGGACTCAACCACATTTACTGACAAATGGGCAGCTTTCCACAAAGTACAGATTGAAACATTGTTCATTTGTATTGGTTTTCATTTAGGGACAAACATTGTGTATTTAATAATTCACAGGATTGAGCACAGAACAAATTGGATAAAAACAAATTCCCCAAAATGATCCATTTGATTCATTGACTGTACCCAGGAATGATCTAGACTTATGAGTTTGTCATAAACACTACCACAGATCAAGACAAGATTAAAATCTACAGTGTAAAGTTATTGTAACTTGTTGAATTCAAAATGAGAAAAAAAATGAGTATTTGAAATTGATTCAACATAGCCACTGTGTTATGATATATTTTAATTTGGAGGAAAAAATATGACTCATACACAATTCTCTCAGTAAAGTTTCTATTTTTTGCTAATAACACAATTTAATTTACTTCAGAAAATGCATTGATTTTATTCAAATATAATTTTCTTCTAAAATATAAATATTTAAATTAAATTTTTATAAATGTAGAGAATGTAGTTTCTGTTGACCCCCTACACAGATGTTAATCAGTCTAAAACTTAAGTGATGAAGAAATATTTGTAATTATGATTACTTTTTCTATAAATATATAATAGGCTCTTTTCAACTTAATTATGAGTAATTAACTCATACTTCATGTAGTACTGAGCACCGTAGATTACATATTGTTGAGTTAAACTATTGGCATTAATATGTGTATTTTAATATGTTATTTACAATACACATGTACAATTCTCTTGTATAACAACATTCCAGTGATTTTGAAAATATATAGTGAAAGAGTGCAATATAATTTATAAATGCATCAAAGCTTTCCTACAATATTCAAGCTGGGACTTTACTCTTCAGCATTTTAAAACAGAAAACAAAAAGTCGATATCCTAAAGCTGTGTTTTCTAAAGGAATTTTTTTTAAAAGCATTAGCTCAAATAGAGTTCTGTAGGTAAGTGTGAGGAATGGCTCACGAGATTTCCCCTTTGAAGAATCACAATGAACATTAAAGTCTTTGAGGAACTTGGCAATCATGAAATCTGTTTAACATTTTTTTAACTCAGTATTTAACAAAAATTTTTATTACTAAACCCCTACCCCACTCCACGAAACACCGCTCAATCAATGCCTCCTTGGAACTAGTGTTAGATGCATACATACTTTGGGGAAACTTTCGCTGGTTTAAAATAAAATTTTTCAAGTCAATAAACACATATGTCTCAGTGAGCAAAATCACGTTCCTTTAAAACAGTTTCACTTTCTAAAGCTTTTTGCATAGGCATTTGCTAAAATATGATTCTTAAAAAACACACAGGTCTAACAGAACATTTGTATATGTGAACTACAGGGGAACAACACAGAAATGCTTACAGAAATTCTAGAACTAATTTTGAAGGTTTGAAGAGAGTGACTCCAAAATCAAATAATGGGGGTTATTTTTAGTGAATTAGTTTTGAAAGATAAAAGCAAACGCATTAAATCATTCACGTGCTATATACTGTTTGAAAATATTCTTGTAGAAAAATATCAGGTCCTTATATTATTTCCCTGAAATTCTGAAAGAGCTACAGATGCGAGATTTGATTATAGTGCTGGGTCTATATGTAAAAACCAGCATTGTCCAGAATGAAATGAGGCTGCTCTGTTACTTGCTTGGAGATGCATGCATACAAGCACAAACAGAAACAAGGGTCAATAAATTGCTCAGGATTTCCACTGAAAACCACGAAAAGGGAATAATTAGTTAACCCCAGTCATGTGACAATCTTTTTTTAAAAAATACTCATAATTTGCATTCTATAAATAAAGCTATCAGTCTTGGATATGTGGCAGCAAACTGGTGTGAGTGTAGTCCCAGAATTAATCATCTTTTCTGCACACAACTCTTCGGCAAAGCTTTGCAATTTAAGCAGTCTACTTTGGCTCAGATTCTACCAGCTTACAGCTCAGATCAGTATCTGATGCTTTATTTAAGTCATGCTCAGCATGTGCTAATGAAAACACTTTAGAATCATTCTACACCACTGAAAGATAATTCGTGAAAAAAAAAGTAACAGCTGCTTCATCCTTAAATAAAAGATGGCTTTACATGTGAAGTATTTTTCTTTCCCTACCAGTGAACGTTAACTAGAATTAGGAAATAAATCACAATAAAACAAGGGATCATTGTTATGGGTGATGCAGGGAGGGCAGGAGAAAATGTCCATTTCTCATCTGTTCAGTCCTTGCTTACCTGGGTGAACCAGTTGCCTAGAAACTGGTGTGATTAAGATCTGCACATGCTGTTCTAATGGTCATGTCCTTCGCTGTCAGTATTTAAAAGCTATGCTGTGTATTTCCAACCGCCCTCACCTCTTTAACCTTGCATTGTCCTAAAAAGTTTTATTCTGATATTCCTTGTGATATTTCGTTAGTGTATGCCATGTAGCAGCTGAAACTGACAGAGGAGTCTGGGACAGTGACACATGACTCCTGAGATCTAAAGCTGATGGTGGCATGCTATATCTGGTGCCTTGCTCACTACAGATGGTGTCTGATGTCACGCTCTCTGGTGGCATAGCAGTCCTGATTTCTCAAAGGCAAGTCGCCCCTCTGTTCAGGCTACCAAGCCCAGTCTTGTAATCTTAGCTGACAGGAAGGAATGAATGATGAAAACAATTGGCTTGGGGCAGGAATGAAGATCCAGTTGCTGAAATTTGAAAAGAAGAGAGCATGAGAGATTTTAAATTAATGCTTGATGCAGAATAGTGATTTACACATCAAACGAATCTATATACACTTCCTGCTTTTAAGTGTTAACTGGAGCAATTATGTTTTAAAAATCATTGCCCCTCAATGAGAGGAAGGGATAACTCTTTGAACTTATTCCTTACATCTCATGGATCTTTTTTTTTTCAAAATAGGCTCCGTGAAATTTATATACACCAATACCATAAATATTAATGTTGCCCTTCTTGACTGTCTAAACCATTTATTTTCAGTACCAAAATAGTGATATTTATGTTGGATTTGGTTCAGCAGGAAGTAGTACTAAATTTCACCTAAAGGTTAGGTTTGATTCCTGGTTCTGACACTTTTTAGATGTATAATCTTGGACAAGTCACTTAAAGTTCTTCTCAGTCCTACTAACTCCCAGGGTAGAGTATTAAATGACATACTGTATGTGAAAATTTCTTGTAAACTGTAAAACACAGAATCCCTGCTAAACAGCTCATTCTCACTGTCCTCTACTCTTGAAGTGTAAGTAGTTACATCACATCTCTCTGAAGGCACCTTCTGAATTCTTATCCTTTTCAGTGTGTGTTCCTGCAGAATCCAGCATAGGCAAGACACACAGCCAGGGTGTGGGAGTCCTTCATTAGCTGAATTTTATCACCTGACCTAAGTTAGGAAAATTGGGGGAGTTCTTAGTTCTCTTCTGCTATCCCCAGTTTTGTTCTGACGATGACACTGTTGGGGAATAAGAGCAATCTGAGCATATAATAATATCTACCAAAGTTAAGGCTCTATTATGAACCAGGTACTGTGCTAAATATTTTCTACCCACTATCTTATTTAAATCTCTCTTACAAAATCCCTGTGTGGTAACTATTTTTATTGTCTCCATTTTTCACATGGGAAACTAAGATTTGGAGAAATTATGAAAATTTCTGAAATCCTAGATCTTAACAGTAAATAGTAAGTGTGGACTCGAATGCAAGTTTATCTGACGCCAGAGCCAGGACTTAACCACAGTGTTCTTTGTCACTAACACAGAATGCTACTTTTGGAAGTAACATTAAAGATTACTTACTTCAGTCCCTGTATTTTACGGATGGGGAGACTCAGATCCAAAGAAATAAAAAGACTTTCCCAAGACATCTGGTGAGTTAGTTGCAGATTCAGGAAGAGAACCCAGGTCTTGACCCTCAGTTTATTGCATTTCCTAAAACTCATCTCTGCTCCCTTCCCCACTGGAAAGGCTGGGATTGCTTAACTGGGCATTAGGGGGGGCTATGTCTGAACTTGAGCTTATCAGCTAAGTCTCCTGGCAGTAGAAAATTAGTCCTTTCTAAATCTTCCAAGCCAGGTAGTAATGATAGGCAGAAAGGCTGAAATTTAGACAAAAGTGATTTTCTTCATGGGCAAAAACTAGCCTTGAATTTGTAAGCCAAGAATAAAGCTGGAGACCAATTCTTGTTCTTTTCCACTTCGCTAAATAGTGGTCACCTTTAGGAAGAACACAGTTGGGCAGTTGATACAGCAGCAACTGAGCTAGAAGTATTCTTAGCAAAATGGACTTTCAAATCACTGCTTTATTTTCAAACGGGTGCTTCAGGCTGAACATACTGACTGAAATATAAAAATAAACAAAAATTCCAATAAAATTCTGCAGATGCATTTTAAAAGTTAGAAAAATGGCCAGCTGGAAATAGTTCTCAGAAAGTGAGTATGGATCAGCCACCAACCACAGGGAATGGCCTTCGTCATGACTGCCAGCGGCACCCATGTAAGAATCTCGGTAGTGTGTTGGGGCCTGTGGTTTTGCAGGACCTAGAATCCTGGGGCTGACACTTTGGGATAGAAGGCCCTACATTTTGTTAAGTGTGTGCCTGGCCCTTTCCTTCGTGAATGTCAACAAACATTTGCCGACTAACCCGCTGGCTAAGGAGAACCTAAACAGAGACTACTTATCACAAAACCGGTTCTCTTTGAAGTTGTACATTGGACAGTTTAAATGAGATGTTATTTCTTCCTGAGGAATGCCAAGAACTACGAATGCAGAAAGTAGAAGAATGTGCATTTCTCACCTTTTTGTGGAACTGAAACAATATAGTTTTCATTATGGCAGCAGCAGCACTCACAGGAAATCATGAATTTAAACACATGAGCTATTTGCATTGATAAGAGAAGTATAAATGTCACCTTAACTTATAAATTTACTAATTTTGTTGGATATTATTTGACATTGGCCTCAAACTTCTGTGCCCTTGTCTGGCCCTCTCTCCACTCACGTAGATTTGACCAGTTTCTTTTTGTTTTCCAGCTGCTCCTTCTACTTTGCACCTCATCCAGCCCCTCCTGTCTCTTGCTTTTCATCCTCTCTACTTCTCCGAGTCCTCCCTGATGGCAGGGGCTGTGTATTTTACTTCCCTCCATCCCTAACACCTAGCACAGTGCTGAGGTTATTTTAGATGCTAGATACTTTTTTTTAAATGAATGGTGCATTTTTTAAGCCAGTGAGACCCTATGTCATAAGAATTTAATGCTAACCTTGTAAAGGATTCTTTCCTTTGATTCAAATATTTCTGTAGTCTTCAAATGGAAAATGAGACTAAAGGAAAGAACCTTGAAATAATTGAATCCAATCACTGTTTTTCAAGGATCAAATAAAACGTGGGCCTGGAAGTACTATGTTAACAGTCAAATGCTTCATAAATGTAAGGCAGCGTTATGTTTATGAGTCATTATAGGTGTGCTGCATAATGAGATCCAGTATATGAAATCACACACTTACAATCTCTCCATCTTTGCCTCCAAAATCTAAATACAGCATCCTGATCCCATCATCTGAAGACATTTTGAGCTTTTCATAAGGAGACTGTATGATTGTCTTGGGAAAGGCACCCTCCTGTGGTTCTGTGGTAATAGAAAATCCGTTCTCATAATGTATGGTCAAACGGCACTCCTGGTTTTTGTAGGTGCAAGCTGAGAAAGAAAGACACGGAGAGGGAGAGACAAGCGTGAACAATGGAAGTCCACCCATTTTCCCAGGCACTTAGGACTGCAAGTCCCCTCAGTCCAGGGGCCAGCCACAAATTTCTTACTAAAGTAAAAAAATGGTAATTGTTCATGAAAATAATCTCCTTGGGTTGATTTTGATATTGTAATTTAACTAACTCCACGGAACTAAGGGAAATAAACTTTAAAGACATTCTTTTCACTGAATGTTACCTGGGCTCTAGCCCTATCTGCCATCTGACAACACAGGTCAATAGGTAGACTTGTCTTCCAGTGGCCAGATGGGACTTGCCTCAAGCCACAAAAAACAGACATTTGATTTAAATAAAGAAATCTACCTCTTAATCATCATCATCTCACACACACACACACACACACACACACGCACGCATGCATGCACGCATGTGCAAGCAATGTCATGTCTACCACCTGGTGAAAGAAGTGAGCATTCTCCCATCACATTAACAAAGGTAACATACTTAAGTGGTCATGAGAATAGTTTACAAATAATCCAATTTTTAATTTTAAAGAAGTCTAACAAAGTTTATCTGAGAAATTGAAAGGGGTGCTCTTAATTTTCTTAATAATCTCGGGTCTTGAAAAGCTGCTGTTGCAGACAGATCTCACAGGTGGCAGCTTCCATAAAGAACGCCGTTTCCTCCCTCTGGCCTGGTGTGGCATCCAGGAACCTCAGGAGTGGTGTCTACACTGTGCCCTCTGATCCAAAGGAACAAAACAAAAACCTAGATAGCAGGTCAGGTGTCAGCTTTTATCTGGGATTCTCCTTATGTTTAGGAAAATAGTCCAGCTCGTTAAGCTTATCCGCTGGACAGGGGACTGCCACCAAATCCTAAATCCTATTTAGGAAGACGTGTGAATGTTTAAAACCCTTAATCAAAGGGTTCTGAAAAAGGTTATTAAGGATCAGATTTGATTTTTTGCCTCACCAAACACCACATGTAACAGAGTCTGGCAAGTTAATTGGCTTGGGCCTTGATCTACATCCAAAAGATCTGCAGGGAAACCAAGAGATTTTCTTTGCTGGAAGTTGGGAGGAGTAAGAGTAAAGGTACTAATGACTGAGAACTTACTCCATGCCGTCATTAGCTCTGCTCAGCTTCATGGGCTGTACTGAACTTACCCTTACCGTAAACTTCTGAAGCGGAAACTTAGACCAATATTGTAGGTGAAAAAAGCAAAGCTCAGAGAGGTGAACATGTCCCTATCCAGGTTCTTGGCTTTCAGATTTCAAGTTCTTTCCATTCTGTCCCATGTTGTTCCTTTCTCATGCTCTGGCACTTAGGATACAAAGGGATGTGGCAGGGAGTCTGTCAGCTTTCCTCCCTCATGAATAATGACAGCAGGGTGAGGGGAGGCCTTTAGAGTTTGGGGAGGAAATAGGGATCTCTATGGCTCACAGAATGAAGTGCCTTTTAATTGAAGCTCTGATTAAAACATATGCCCCTTCCCCTGACTTACTGCAGGCACCTTTCAACTTGCAACTACGGGATGACTTTTTCTAAAGGTATCTCTCTAACAGGTCTATGAGTCCTTCTGGGCAGAGCCCAAGGGCCCACCCTCTGCCACCCAGTCCAAGGGCGACAAAGGACAGTGGAATAGAGGTAGACATGGCTTCCTATCCTGACTCCTCCTGTTTGATACTCTTCACTTCTACGACCTGCAGAATATGTGGGCAAATGGTGCTAAATATGATTTTTTTCTTCCTTCCTCAATGTTTGAACTTTAAAGCTATGCCATCAGATATTCTGCATTAACCGATTGTGATTACTTTAAATTCTAGTTGCCCTCAAATGGTATTTGTGGCCTTTATATAATGGAATCAACTATCTGAAGATGTTCTCAATCTATAAAGGATAAATTGAACATATTATCAAGTTAATCGAAACTCTGATTAAAACATAAGCCCCTTTCCCCAACTCTCTGCAGGCATCTTTCAATTTGTAACTGGGCTACACCTTTGGTCATTTCCACAATTTCTTCTCTCTCATCATCCAGTTAGCTTAGTCCGCAGAATTCTTTGTTATTCTGCTTTGGCTAATCTATCAACAGCCTCATCAGTTTCCCATCAAAATAAAGTTCAGCTTAGTGAGATAAAAGGATTTTACAAAATTTGTACAATGTAAACTAAACCAAACCCCTCTAAAAATAATTTTTTCCTAGAACACTTCTGAAATTGTTGCATGGAATCTGAGCTTCTCTAATATTACACTTGTAACTTTATTAAATTTAGTATTCTGGTGCCTCAGGCCTTTTCCAACTCTCAGGTTCAAAACTACAGTTTTTCTAGCCATACAGAATAGGCATCAAAAATAAAATCTTCAGGGACACTGCCAAAAGGTTTGCAACAATGAAGGAAAGCATTTGGGGGCACTAATCAGGTTCAAGAGAATTATAAAAAGGCCCTGATTGTCATGGGTATGCTGCAGCAGAAATTCTATAAAACATCTGTTTTTTTCATGTATGCACGAGTAGAGGAAATTTGGAGAAACCCTACTACACGTGTTCCATCTTTCAGAATCCTCCTGGGTGCCTGAGGAAGTTGCACCCCAGTGTGGTACAACTCAAAGAGTGTCCCACGAATGAGCAGCATCACTACCACCTGGAATCTTGTTAGATGCAAATTCTTAGGCCCACACGGAAATGCTGGGTCTGAATCTCTGAGGGTTGGAGGTGAGATCGGCAATGTGAGGCTTTTGAGGGTAAAACTAAAAAATTTGTTTTCAGTGCAGCTAAAGTTTGGAAGCTCTGTTCTTAAGATGTCTTACGGGAAATCCTATTCCTCTAGAGCTGAGCTGTACAATAGGACTTTCTGCTATGATGAAAATGTTCTAGATTTGTACTGTCTGACACAGTAGCCACCAGGCACATGTGGCTAGTGAGCACTTGAAGTGTGGCTAGTGTAACTGGGGAACTTATTACATTTTAATTAATTTAAATTTAAATAGCCACATATGATTAGAGGCTAGCATATTAAACAGCACAAGTCCGGAGATAATAATTACAAGAACAACAACTAATAACAGTACTTATTGATAGCAACCCTAGGAAGTGGCGCTATTATTCCTACTATACCTTGGAGGTAGGTACTATTATTTCCCCCTTTTTACAGATGAAGAAACTAAGAAATTAAGAGAGTGATCAAGAAAGAAGTAGAACTGAAATTTGAATCCAGGCCTGACTTTAAATCACCCACTTGTGACTATAACCTTGTATTGCTTCCTCTGAGATGCAGAGAAATAAATGAAAGAATAGGCAAGAAAGCACGATAAAAGAGGGTGAACAGAGACTATTATAAGAAGCAACTCTAAGAAACTGAGTTGGATCTACTGGAAGACTGTTGTTGAGAGGATACTACCTACTATGTCACTTAATGACCTCTTTATGAGTGTCCACAGGAGACCTGGGAGAGTTGGTCTTAGATCTCAGAACCAGAAACAATTTGTCTTAGATCCCAGGATCAGGAACAATAGCCTTATAGAAACTATTAACGATATATTGTTCTGGCTGGTGAAAAACACTGGGTTAAATATAGAGTCCACCTTAGCAAATGTGCATGCATTTAATTATTATTATTATTATTTTGCATATTATAATCATTTAATAACAATGCATTTAATTATTAATGTCACCTTACATTCTATATTACTTTTCTAGCCCCTTATTTTACCTTTCCCCAAATAAAAAAAAATTAAATTATCTATATCTGTATGTCTCTATATATTTATGTAAGTACATATTGATAACTATCTATCATCTATCTATCTGTTTTGGATAGTGACATAAAAATTATTTATTATGGCAGCCTGAATAGAATTGTCATTTGTTAGGTCACTGGCATAACAGTGGGAAGTTCCACGTCTCTGTAGATACTACAGGGGATGAAGAATGGACTTTAGAGTGACACAACCTGGAGTTAAAGTCAGTTCTGTCACGTATTAATTGTGTGATTTGGGGCAAGTTATTTAACCTTTCTTAGGAATTTATTTGTCATGCTGACAAGGAAAGGATAAGGATTAGGGGAGATAGGCAACGTATTGTGGCCCAGGACACACACGTGCACACATACACATGCACACTCCTGAATCAAAAGTTCTACAAAGCAATAAAATGATATTTACACCAATATCTCTATTCCATTTTATTTCATTTTTTAAATGTTGGTCTTGCCTCAATTAATTGATTTCAGGACTCACAAAAGGGTTGTTTCTCACAGTAAGAAACAGACTAAGACATTATATAAAATGCCTGGCATACAGCAGGTATTCAATAAATAGTGTAGCACATGTCCCACCTCTACCACCACCTAGTCCTTTCTGCGAGCTCTACATGAATGTGGACTGCGCTCATTCCATGCCCTTCCATCTGCCTCTGCCTCTCCATTCATGCCAGGGGCAGGGGCTGCTGGTCTCTTCCCAGGGTTTTTACTTTGCTCTGCTCGCCCCCACCTAGATGCCTTTGCTTCCTGTTCTTTTTCACAGTCTGGGTCTTCAGATTTCTGATCAGTTCTGAGCTGCCTAATATATTGCCAATAATTTCATTCTGTGATAAATTATTCAGAATCAGTTTCTGTGTAACCAAGAACCCTACTAGTTTATGACTCAAAGTTCATTCCTCCAGGAAGCCACCCAGGGGTTACAGGTAGGAAAATGATAACTATCCAAGTTACCAACTTTTCTTGAATGAAGACAGGATAAGGCTTTTCCTGATCAAAACCTTAGGTTACACTTTAGTAAGGAATACAGTGCCTTGATTTAGAAGAATTCAAGTTTACCTCTGGAATTTTAAGTACCTCAGAAAGCCAGTAATGGAAACTATTTTAGGCCAGGGTGGAGTAGAGGGTGTGTCCTTCCAGGAATAGTGTGACATCGGTAACCCATAGCCAGCAGTACTCACCAGTGGTGACTTCGGCAATGAGTTCAGCCGAGTTGTGGCAACCCTGTACTATGCTCCTTGTCCAATGGGAGAGGTCCCTGCTGATCTCTGCCCTGAAGAGATGTGTTTCAATCCCTTGCCTGGTACCAGTTCGCGTTGCAAAGGACAGATCCACCCCAGCCTGGGGTGATCCCTTCCCTGGACCTGAATGGACCAGCCTGGTGGGGGAGAGAGAGAGAGAGGTCATCAATGGAGACTATTTTATCCACCTGTCCACCTGGCATATCACCTCCTAAAAGGCCCAAATTGGTAATTTGCTCTCATTTTTCTGATCTAGAACCAAAGGGGTCCACTATATCCATTCTTCACCATGGTTTTCAGTCATCTCCTCTCCAGTGGTAGAATGAGATTAAAAGAGTGCCCAAGAGCTGTGCATCTATTTGATACAGAGGAGTTGAATAATATGACTTTAACTTATGCAAATTCAACTATACTCACTCAGCCAAATGAAAAATAAATAAATAAATGAGAGAGAGAGAGAGAGAGAGAAAAGAATTTAAATACTGTGTAAAATTTTCTCCACCATCCCATTCCTGAGCATCTATAGGTCCCAGCATGAGCATGAGATGGGAGAGTTAATCTATTGGGTTAGACTTAGTTTCTCTGTGTCTCTTGTAGGCTGCAGCATCTGACTGCACCGGACGTACTTTTGGGTATGCACTTATTCATGCATATAACCCCCAAATGCAAGCAAACAGCCTGGGATTCAGTTGAAGAAGTAGCAATCTGTGTATATGTTAAAGCTCATGAAAGAACTGGCAATCTGGATTTCTTGAGAAATGATATAAAATTGCACTTTAGGGGAGATTTAAGGGATTTTCAAGAGATCATTACGATAAAAGATTTTCACCTGACTTTAGAGTTTACCCTCAGCATAAAATGTGACTTCTGTAGTAAATATTTTCTGAAAGGCCAGACTTAAAACATGAAGAATCAAAGTGCTCTGAGCGCCACCTTCTGAGCAGGAGCTAGCTTCTCTCTTGGCACCTTTCAACACTGGGGTCTCTCATGCTCTTTCCTCCTACTCTCCATATCTCAACCTCCTTTTGAGAGAGACTCTCATATCAATCATTTGCAGGGTAGCATGAATATAATTCAGTAAATGTTGCTTCTCTCCAGGGTATTCGCATTTTCAGCCTTATCTTTTAGTACAGAAAGCAACATTTTATATCATTTGTAAAAGAAATGCCAGGTGTCTATCCACGTGGATCTGAGAGTTATTTTCTTGTTACCTCTAGATTAAAAACTACACAAAGAAAATCCAAAAGCTTGTTTTTTTCTTGCAAACCTAAATACTCTAGGACAAAATTATCAGCAGAATAGAGCATATTATAGCCTGTTGAATTTCTAGCAACAAGCTTGCTGTATACTCCAAGGAACTTTCTGTTACTTACAAAGTTGGAATTAGGTGGGAGGAGTGGTTTGCATTGCCAACTGAAAGAGAAAGTTTAGTTGAAAAGCCTTTCGGTTGGAAGAGTCATTAAAGATGGAAGTGATAAAGGAGGTGCTTGGTTTCCCTGGGTTCAGGTTTCAGGACACGCCTCTGGGTTTCCAGCCACTCCCTGAGGTCTCAGGCCCCTCCTCTGAGCTCTCCCCTAGAGGAAAGTTACTGTTGTCAGTTAGACCTATTTTCAGCACCAACATGGGGAAAATGAGACCACAAGGGGCTGGTTTATGCAAATCCAGTGGCTGGGCATGCTCAGTAGAGAAGAGTTATATAACCCTGGTGGTTGAGTGACCTTCCATTAGAGTACTAGAGAGCACAGAATGTTCTTGAATATGCCTGGTGCATGTGACAGGATTTGACCAATGAACATCCTCCAAGAAGAGACCAACTGAGCATGTACAAGACAATGTTACATAACATGGAGCCACCCCCTTAACTGAATATTCATTAGATGACAAAACTATAAAAGCTGAATCCCAGGCAGAAGGTGGGGCAGTTGCTCACTCTTCTGGAGCCTGCCTATACTCTGTCTGTGGAGTGTGTATTTCCTCCTTTCTATATCAAACTTTCTTTCAGCAAGCAGCTGCTCATTCTCTTGAGCCTGCCTGCATTCTGAACTGAACTTTAAGTATGTATTTCTTGCTTTTGTGTTAAACTTGGTGTGGGCCCTGCTCAGTCCCTGGAGCTAGGTGCACTGTCTCTGTGGAACCTGTATTCTGTTATATTAAACTTGTTCTCACTTTCTTCTTCTTCTTTTTTTTTTTTTTCCTTTTTGTCTTTTTTCGTGTCCGGCAACGGATCGCAACCCTCAGTGTCGCACCCGCACCTCGCTCAGCCAGTGAGCAGGAACCGGTCTGTATGTGGGATCCGAACCCTCGGGGGGAGCGCCGCCACGCTCCCAAGCGGTGCACTGTAGCAGTGCGCCCCTGGGCCGGCCCTTGTTCTCACTTTCTTCTTCTTCTTTTTTTTTTTTTTTCCTTTTTGTCTTTTTTCGTGTCCGGCAACGGATCGCAACCCTCAGTGTCGCACCCGCACCTCGCTCAGCCAGTGAGCAGGAACCGGTCTGTATGTGGGATCCGAACCCTCGGGGGGAGCGCCGCCACGCTCCCAAGCGGTGCACTGTAGCAGTGCGCCACTGGGCCGGCCCTTGTTCTCACTTTCTACTGTGACTTTGCCCTTGAATTCTTTCCTATAGTGGCATCAAGAACCTGGTAAGAGGATGGGGTGGGTTAAGGCTGACTATTGGGCCCCCCAGACCCTACCTCCGACATCAGAAGTTCCATGAATCTCTTAGAAAGGGGAGCCCAGGGCAGTGTGCAGGGAGATAGCTGCTGGTGTGGGTGCAGGGATTAAACACATAAAGACTAAGTCCAGTTCACTCAAGAAAAGGGAGGACATTTTGAAATGAGAAGTGAGCAAGACATCTAAGAAACTGCTGGAGGACTCAAGATCAAGTGGGCTAAAGATAATACGAAACATTTATCTAAATCCTAATATAGGATTGAAAGAAATTGAAGAACAGGTAAAAGTTCATTAAGAAAAGGTACCTATAGGAAGCAAGAATGTATACTGTGTATTCAAAAGTGTTTTTACACTCAAAGGTGTTTAAGTTTTAGTTGCTTTAAGAAATATATCCAGCTCGTCCTTCTTAAAATCAAGAAATCTATTTGTTGGGCACAGTTGGTAGGCTGCATGTTAAACTGAAAAAGGGCATAGTTTTGGGAGGCATGAAAAGCTGCATTAGAACCTCATTCTGTTTGCCATTTGTTAATTTTTTTTTAAGAATCACTACCTCATAATGTAGTGTTGTGAGGATTAAATAAAATAATCTATGTACTGTACCTAGAGACTAGCATATGGTTTGTACTCAATAAGTTTTATTTCCATTTCTTACCCCTACCCTCGGTTTTCTTATTTTAAAAATATAATTCCTACCCCATAGGTTTAGGATAAAATATAGTAAAACATAAAGAACACTTAGTTCAGTATTTAGTGCACTGTGGTCAGCATTCAATAAAAATCGGTTCCCTTATGCTTTCCCTGGGCTAACTTGTTCTCACTTTTCATCTCCTAAATTTCCACCCAGAGGACATCAACTCTGTCACAATCCAGGGCTGGCACAAATATGTGGTAGACACAGAAGCAAAGGGAGGAAAAGGTTCACCACTCTCATGGAGAGTGCCATTTTTTGGTGAATTTCCTGCTAATATCTATTTTTCTTCAGATAAATTACAAAATTAAAGTCAATAATAACTGGAAAACACAATTTGTTAGAAAATCCACATTTGGTAGCTCTGGGTATGAGGAATGAAATTACTAACAGAACATAATATGATATGAGAGAGCCCAAAATTGGGCTGCCTAATTCCATGCACAGGGAGTCCTTGATGGGGAAGCTCGGTGTGGTACAGGAAATAGTGACGGAAAAAGAGCCTTTGGGGGACTTCCTGTGTTCTCTGTGTTCATCTCATCACTGAATTCTCACTGACTGAAAAAGAAAGGTGGGGGGGAGGAATTGATTTTTTAACTAGCCAAGTGTGAATTATTGAATATTTATATTAGAGAACAAGTTGATTTGCCTTTTGAGGAACAGCAGACATGTTGAAATATGTGTTATTTTGAATACGCCAATATTTATTTAATGAAACACACAGTACTGTATGTAAACTCTGAGATAAAGCAAATTGGCTTTTCACTACATAATGTGTGTACTGATAACGAAAGGATACTTTTTCCACATTAGAATCAAGTGAAATATATCAGACAGCTACTGTATGCATATGGATGCACATACTCTGGATGGAGTATTATAGATTTTGAAGATTATTTTATATATAGTATGTATAAATGTGAGGAAATGCATATATATGTATGGAAGAGTTCTGGACATGTAACTCAACCATGTAAAAGAAAGGTTGAAAACAAATCCACTAAAATGTCACGCAATAGAATGAGTGGTTTCATTTCTTTTTTTTTTTTAATTGTTAAAATATCCTCTAAGAAACATATACTACACAATTTAAATATTAACTTAAAAAGGCTATGAGATTGAAATGAACCCAAATGTTTTAATATTTAGAATCAAGACTTTCACTGCACCAAGAAAATATATATATTATGACTCAGTGTGTCATTTTTGTTTTGTTTGTTGTTTGTTTAATGGTGGTGGCCATATAGCGTTGGAATTCTGGATGTGCCCTGCTATGCACTCCTGCATTTCTTTGTGTCTGGGATATCCTAAATTGCCTCTGTCTAGTTCCTAACACCTAATGCCTGCACGCTGCGGCTATGGGATAGCCCTTCTCAGAATGAAGTTAACTGATCCAAGTGGGATGAAACCTATACCTGTGGCCTCGTTAATCCCTTACCCTAGCCAACTGGCCTCCAGCAAATGAGACAGGAGAGATGCTGAGACCTGCAAGTTGAAGGGATAGGATCTTCTGGATGCAGAGGTGCTCTAAGGGGCTATAGAGGAGCTTCCTGCTCTGTTCAAGTCCCTTCTCCCCTCCTTCAAACTGAATACCAAACATTACTCACTAGTTCATTCATTAATTCAATGAATCAATAAAGATTTTGCCATTCATCAACTGATATTTCCAAAAAATATTTATGGAGTTCTGTTATGGACTAAACTGTGTACTCCTAAAATTCATATGTTGAAGCCCTAACCCCCAATATGACTGTATTTGAAAATAGATCCTACAAGGAGGT